GAGATATGGACATAATGACATACATACCCTAGCTCTAGGGAGGCTAAGGCAGGAAGATTGTCACAAGTTCAAGCCAATCAGAGATAGTGAGATCCTGCTTCAAAAACAAAATAAACAAAGAAACCCAAACCACAGTGAGATACCAGTTCATACCTATTATGATTTAAAAAAGTAAAAATATTATAGTTAGTAGTGATGCTGTACTTGTAGTTCCTGTTACTCGGGACCTGAGACAGGAGGATCACTTGAGCATAATAATAAAAACACCCCATGTAAAAACAAAAAAGAAGTGGTGTTAACAGAATGTAGAGAAATCAGAGCCCTTTTACATTGCTGAGAGGAAAGGAAAATGGTGCCCTGCTATGAAGAGCAATAGAGTGATTTCTCAAAGAATAATGACACACTATGTATATATTCCTTTGATATAGGATGTCCTTTATGCTGAAAATACGTGTTGCTTTTATTGACTGATGAATAAGCGGCTTTGGCCTATGACAGAGCAGAATATAGCTGGCAGGAAAGCCAAACTAAATACAGGGAGAAAGAGGGTAGGGTGGAGAGAAGACCCCAGCAGTCACTGAGCAGACTTGTAGAAAATGAGGTAATGCCATGGCCTTGTTGTTGTTTTGCTATAGCTGCAGGCAATGAAATTCAACAAAATCCACTTGGAGTTTATTGGCAAAAGGGAGGGGTAGGTGTTGACCAATCGGGAACAGAGATGAAAGGGGAAGGGGGCTGGAACAGAGATTGAAGGGGAAGGGGAAAGAACAGGTGGGAGGCAATCACTTAAAAGGGAAAGCTTGCACATGTGTACAGAGTCCTTATGCAGCCAACATAATGCATAATGTAGCCATGCAACACAGGGCCCTTTGAGTTGTCTAAATATCAGCCTGAATGTCAGTTGTCAGGGAGCATAATACCTGAATCCTGATGCTTGTGGCAATACATAGATTAATAGAAATGGGTTCATTTTAATGTAAGAGCTAGCTAGTAATAAACCTGAGCCATTGCCCAAACAATTATAATTAATATTAAAGCTCTGAATGATCATTTTATAAGTGGCTGCAGGGTGGGCCAGAACACAGAAAATCTCCTAGGTATTATTTGAAATAAAAGAAAACCTCCGGCTAAAATCTTGTATTGATATGTCTATATTATCATTCATAAAAGCCAGAAGTAGAGGAGATGGAGAGACGGCTCAATGGTCAAGAACACTGACTGCTCTTCCAGAGGACCCTGACTCAATTCCCAGCACCCATGTGTTGACTCACAGCAGTGGTAACTCCAATTCCAGAGCATCTGATGGCCATTTCTGGTCTCTTGGGGACTGCATACACATGATGCACAGACATACATGAGGCAAAACACTCATACACAGACTAAAGTAATAACTTTCCCTCCCTTCCTTTCTTTTTCTGGGACAGGGATCCTCTGTATAGCTTCTGAGCCTGTCCTAGGACTTGCTGTGTAGATCAGGCTGACCTCAAATTCACAAAGATCCGCCTGCCTCTGCCTCCCAGGTGCTGGGATTAAAGGCGTGTGCTACTACTGCCCAGAGTAATAACTTTTCTTAGCTCAAAATAGAGATATTCCAAATGCCTACTAACTGAGGGGTAGATAAACAGAATGTGTCAGTATCTGGCAGTATTGTTTGGCCATATAAAGTATGAAGTATTCATGCTACCACAAAGTAAGTCTCAATAACGTGATAGACATTCTGTATGTGAAGTAAAACAGTCACAAAGAACTGCATTTTTTATGCATTTGCTGAGATATTCATAATTGGCAAACTGGTGATGAATTACTAGTGTCCTGTGGCTTGTGTAATAAATGACTGCAGATCTAGAGGCTTTGGTCTCTGGGTTCCAGGGCTATCTTGGGGCTTTCATTTCTCTTCAAAGGTAACACATGCTTATAGTTGGCTAGTTTTGTTTCTGCCTGTTCCCTTCCTTCCTTCCTTCCTTCCTTCCTTCCTTCCTTCCTTCCTTCCTTCCTTCCTTCCTTCCTTCCTTCCTTCCTTCCTGATGGGATCTCACTTCGTAGCTCCAGTCATAAATAAAGCTCTATAATTTCCCTCAGTTTTCAGTTGAGATTAATCTTACAGAGTTGTTTGAAAGCATCTTTCATCTGGAACCATGTATGTTATGTATGAATACCTTGGCTTCTCATGTCATTGGCAGATAGTCTTCACTAGTGACCAAGCATGGTCATTGTTAAGTTTAAGATTGTCCTGTAGCTTTGCTTGTGTCCCTAGTCTTTCACTGAGAACTGATGCAGTTTTGGGGTTTTGTTTTTGCTTTTTTCTTCTCTAACAGAAAAGGACCGCCTAAAAGATGTTTATCTGTTTTTCTCTTACAGAATTCTGCCAACAACTTGATACCAAATTGTTTCTGTTGAGTTTTTCTCTGGTTTCTGTCATTTTCTCAGTTGTGAAAGCTTGACCTGGTTTCTGAGTGCAAACTAGCAGCACAGGATGTTTGGAAAAGGCTGTTTTCTGCCTGCTTCCTGATGCTTGATACTTTCCTGTGACTAGTGTAACCTAAATGACTGTATTCAGATTCCTTGGGTCTTTTACAAAAGGTAGCATGTGGTGCAGAGTGGTGGGTGATAATTGGTGGTTCCTTTCGATTTCTGGTGGGAGCTCATCTAGGCTGCTGTTGTTCATTCTTCCTGAAGGACTGATGGGTATTTTGAAAGCCCGTGAGGCTGACATTCACTTGTCTTTCATGACAGCCATGTGTCTTTCATGGGGGAGGGGGCATTTTTGTGCATGAGCTCAGACCTCACATGTGCCCTGCTGCCAAGCTACATCCCCAGGTGCTCCTGAGTCTTTTCATCATTTCTATGTAAACTAGCCAGTGATGGTCATCTTTGTATCAGTCAGTGTTGAGAGTATATGAACCGTGTTAATACAAGTGAAGTCTTTATACTTGATCCTGGTACCATGTTCCATATAGGCATGTCGGCTCTAGTTATGGGGTTGTTGTTTATAATCTCATAATATACAGCATTGGATGCAGCTTGGACACATGAAATTGTGATGATGAGCAGAGCAGGAGGAGTAGAGATCATGGCAGTTAGTTATCTGCCCTCAGCCTCTTTTCTCAGTCATTCTAGGAGTTTTAGAGGCCTTTGGAGACAAAAGAAGGGCCATACTCTCTTGTGGAACGGAGGCTGGGAATGCTCACACATGTGGGAAGGTCAGTTTGGCTACCAGTGCCCACCACAGAAGGTGAACAGTCAAGGAGCAAAAGGCAGCCAAACCTTGGGGTCAAGGGCACAATGACAGTAGCTGAAGTCTCCTATGGAATGCCTCCTTGACAGTTCACCCACACACCCAACATACTCCTAGATGACCAGCCCTTGGGAGATGCATTAAGTATACTGTGCATGTGATCCCTGAAACTAAGTGCTTTCTGTGCCTCACCCCTCTGTCCTGGTCTATAGAGATGAATTGGATTTTGATGACTCATACTGTAGGTCATCTCAACATGATCTGTCTGCACGCCTGGCTCCAGGCACTGGATCCTTTGTTCCAGCTTATGTGTGGAAAAGACTTTGGGAGCATACTCCTGTGCTTGGTCTACTGTGTCTTGGGTCTAAGTAAATATACGTCATTCCTTCTGGAACCTGCTTCTTCCAGTCATGTCTTTCATGGTAGTAGAAAGAACTTGTCAAACTCTTACAGATCACAGGAGAAAATAGTCCAGGCCTTTAACAGAAAGTCACATGTGCACCTGTCTGGCTATAGGGTTCTCTTCCACTGAACTTCGGCCGTCTCATTTCTATTCCTGATTCTTTGACCCCAAATATCCCTGTTCCATTCACCACATGATCATACTTTGGATAGCAGGCCTCAACCGACCTTCAACTGTTGGGTTTCATTCATCCTTGGCAGATTGTCTTTCAGTCAGAAATTGATGGGGCATTGGAAAGGGCTATATTGACAGAATCTCTTTAGTGTCTCTCTTTTCCAGCTGTGAGTCCTTTCCTTCTGTCTGACCCCAACCCTTTGTGACAGATTTCCCCAGCTTCCCTTTCTGACTGTACCGATTCCTTTAGCTGGGAAACAGTGATAAATGGAGTCTGGAAGTTCATGAGAGATAACAGCTATAGACAATCCTGACTGAACAAGTTTCCCTACTTGTTCAGTCTGTGTTCATCTTCTGTGTTTCCTTTGTCAACTTGTCAGTCCCAGGATGACTTTGGAGAACGACTCATGCAAATGGCAGAAAATGAGGGCTTTGTTCTTCTGAACTGCAATGCTGGCAGAATGGGCATTTCAGTGGAGGGAAGGATGGATGGCATGAGATTTTTAACTCAGGCATCTTTTTGATGGCCTCAGTATAGACTCACAGTAACCCAGGAGTGTCCTTAGATACACAGAAGACAATCAGTGGAAGACAAAGCCCCACTGGGCAGTTTCAGAAATGGGAGAGCACAGAGAGAAGGCCTGTGCAGGCAGTGGTCTTCAGCTGTCATATTTGAGAGGGGCTTTGCTCTTTCTCTCATCTGTTCAGCTAACAGAAGAGCATCCCCAGTCATTCTGGAAGTTCTAGAAGGCTTTGGAGAAGAAAGAAAGACCATATCTCACTTTTGGAACACTCATGCAAGACTTGTGTGTAAATACCTGTCTCACCAGCAGGGAAAGGCCACCACAGCATTGTCACGAAAAGCATAAGTACTGATGTATCAACAGTGTAAGCCTTGTGACCTTGGGCCAAACCCTTGGACACCACAAGTAGATACACATTGAGTGCCCTGTGATAAGAGGGGACTTAACTGAAGTGTTCTCTTCATCCCATCTGGGTGAGAACACTTGCCACACCCTTCTTAATTTGTGCCTCTGAGGGGGTAATGACTGACAGCCTCCTGTGAGAGAGGGATTCCAGAGGAAGCCGAGTGGGTGAGTGACTGTGGCCATCGAGGGCTGACATGGGGGAGTCACATGCCTTTGCCTCTCCATTTGAGATTAAAGTACTTCCTGTTTTTACTTTTAGGATGAGTACCTTTCCCTTGTGGCCAGACTCATTATCCATTTTCGAGATATTCGTAAGTAAGAGTTCATATTTTCGGGTAGTTGTTCTTTGAGGGGCCTGTTTTGTGGCTGTGTAGGAGGAACTGTCAGGCAGGCCTTAGCACCTGAGTTAGAACATTGCATGTTTCTGGACTCCCTACCCTCCTAGGCCTCAGCCTCAAAAATGTAGATTTTGACTTATAGAAATGTTGGTCTCAAAGTGATTTAAAGTGGGCTGCTGTTCTCACTCCTCCCTATGACTTTCATATTTGCAATTTACTTTGTAATTGGGTTATATTTCCTAAAAGCTGATTTTGTTAACCCTATGAGGCCAGAACTGTGTGTTTCTATGAGCCTGAAGCTTTAGAAGTCAGTTCCCCAAGTCCCTGCCCCCTCCGTCTGCTGTGCAAAGGACTCTAGCTTCAACCTGAGTGCTGGGATTAAAGGCGTGTGCCACCTTAGTCAGTGCGCCTCTTAGTCAGTTTCTACTGATCTGATAACACACGACCAAAGGCAATTTGAGGAGGAAAGCATTTGTTTTGTCTTACACTTCCAGGTAATAGTCCATCATCACCGAGGACATAAGGGCAGGAACCTGGAGGCAGGAACTAAAGCAGAAGCCATAGATAAGTCCTGCTTACTATCTAGCTCTCCTGATTTGCTCAGCCTGCTTTCTTATAGCACTCAGGATCACCAGCCCCAGGTGGCACTGCCCACAGTGAGCTGGACTCTCCTACATCAATCATCAGTCAAGGTTTGCCCACAGGCCAGTCTGATGGGGGCATTTTCTCAGTTAAGGCTCCTTTTAAAATGTCTGTGCTGGGTGGTAGCACACAACTTTAATCCCAGCAGACAAATCTCTGTGAACTCGAGGTCAGCCTGGACTACAGAATGAGTTCCAGGACAGCCAAGGCTGCACAAAGAAACCCTGTCTTGCCCCCCCCCCCAAATGCCTACAGCTTATGTCAAGTTTTCATAATACTAGCCAGCATGACCATTGAACCATTTCTCCAGCTCAGTTCCACACTAAGTTTTTACCAGAATGGCCAACAAGGTAGACTTCACTGATCTTACTTTGTTTGGGGCATTGGGAGAAGAGAGAGTCTGGAGATGCTCACAGGCTGCATGCTCCTTCCTAAGCAAAGGCTCTGGACCACCAATTGTTAGGACACTTCTTTCGTAGGGCTGGGTCCAGCAGACAAGTGTCCCAGCTGTGAGCAGTGTCAGGTAGACTTGGGCCCCTCACCTAGGACATGGAGATGATATCACTCTAGAGTGAGCTGGAAGTTCTCAGCACTGCTCTTCTAGCCTGGCATGGATTTCTATCAGTCCTGTTGGTGATTCAGCATCCAAGCCAAGACCATAAACTTGGGGGAGTTCACTGAGATGGGTACCTAAGTTTCTTTGCCCCCTCTGCTCTCAGACTCTTCTTTATGTGTAACAGTGCTGGGGGTAGGCATCTCCTCCCTAGTTAGAGTACCAGTAGTTCCTTGGGATTAAGGCTGTAGGTTCTGTTGACCTTGTTTCTATGTGTGGTCAGTTGAGATTTAGCAAATGATTCCTGGGCAGACACCTATAGAACTGACCTATCCAGAGAAATGTGTGTTTTATGTAAACCTGTTTACATTGGATTTTATGTTTGTGTTTCTCTATAGATAATAAGAAATCACAAGCTTCTGCCAGTGGTAAGTTTTCTTTTTGGAGTACAGTTTTTCCCAACCTCCAGTTTGGGGTGGCAGGAATGAGATAATGCATGCCTTGTAGTGGGGGTCAACCACTTATTGGACTGGAACATTTAAAAGTTTTCAGGTGGAATGGCAGCTGACCATTTTTGTGCTCCAGCCTCTTCTCCACCCTTTGCTTTCTTCTTCTTCTTCTTCTTTTTTTTTTTTTTTTCCGAGACAGGGTTTCTCTGTATTGTTTTGGAGGCTGTCCTGGAACTTGCTCTGTAGACCAAGCTGGCCTCGAACTCACAGAGATCTGCCTGGCTCTGCTTCCCGAGTGCTGGGATTAAAGGTGTGCGCCACCAATGCCTGGCCACCCTTTGCTTTCTTATAACTGAAGTCACCCCAATGCTTTTCCATCTTGTTTTATTTAGCAAAAAGATCATAAAAATTTACAAGGCTTTGATGCATTACCTAGAAGAAGCATTGTGGCATATTAGTATAATAACCCATAGTAATATGTCATAGATAATAGGTGTGGAGACTCACTTCTTCTGTTTCTTTCTCTTTTGGGTGTGGGGGCATGTTTTTGAGACAGGTTCTCTCTCTATGTAGCCCACTGACTGTCTTGGAAATATATGTACAGCAGGCTGGCCCAAATTCATAGAAATCTGCCTGCCCCTGCCTCCTGGAATGTCAGGACAAAAGATGTACACCACCACACACCCAACTGTATTCCCTTTTTTGTTGTTGTTTCGTCTTTTTTTTTTTTTTTTTCTTGAGACAGAGTGTTTAGCCCTGGCTGTCCTGGTCCTTTGTAGACCAGGCTGACCTCAAACTGAGATCTGCCAGCCTCTGCCTCCTGAGTGCTGGGATTAAAGGTGTGCTGCCCCTGCCTGGCATATTTACTATCTTAAATTACGAAAAGAGTTCAGAAATCTTTTTATTGTAATTCCAAGGTGTATCATATAAGGGGAAATGTGTCCATTGGGTTAAACTCTGGACTCTGCTTTTGAGATGTCATCATGGGGTTTGCAGATCCACTCTGGCCAGCTGACCTTCAGCCTGCTGTCAGAAAAGGATGTGAGGCTCTGTGGGAGGGTGCTTACCTAGCATGTGTAAGGCTCTCTGCAGAACCGCCACCCCACCCCACCCCGCCAAATAAAAAAAAGTGTACACTAGCATTGCAGACTGTGGCTGTGTGGCTATCACTAGGCCTGGAACTGTAGGCCTCTGTTTGAATAGCCCGCCTGCCTGCAGCCCAGGGCTGGTCAAGTACACACAGCCCAAAGAATGCCTGGCCTCTGTAGTGTTGCGGCATAGGCTCACCCATTGGGCACCGCCCACGTCTCTGGCCAGATGACCAGCCAGGCAGTGCCTGTCTCGAGGCAGTTGTCTGCTGTGAGGTGACACTGAGGTGACGATGACAGCTGGTTCCTTGTCCTTGGCTGTGGCATTGCTCTCTGACCTGCACTTGCTGTCCTGAGACTTAGTGGGTGGGCATGGCTTTGCCCCTCAGCACTGTGGAGTCCTCTCATATTCCTGTACTCGTTCTGATATGCTACTCCTGACCTCAGGTCTGTGCTGGAGTGGTGCTCTGTAGAGATTCGGCTGCCAAAACTGGGACATTGGTGTGTCAGCCTGCTTGTGCTCTCTCTAGGGAGTGCCTGCCAGTGCCCTCTTCCTCTACTCTAGCCACAGTGTTCCCTGTCTGCTAGAAAGAAGGACCTCCTACTTCAGTGTCTCTGGATGTCTATGATGGGCTTCCCCATAGGAGGCCTGGACAGGGGAAAAGGGTCCAGTCGTTAGTTGACCTGACATTGTGCACATCACATTGTAACCCAGCATTAGGACCCTGACACATGGAGTATGTTCCCTGTGACTCATGGAGTATGTTCCCTGGTCCTGAGGCTCATATTCCAGCAGTACTTGTCCCCTGGGAATTGGGGAGAATTTCAGGTCTCTGGTTACTACTTGTTTGGGAATTTAGATTGGTCAAATACATAGGAGGGAGGAGACCCATGCCTCAGGAGCCATTTACCTGTGTGATTGCCCAGTTTTGAGTTGCTTTCTTCAGACACTGCCCTTCTCTTCCCACAGACCCCATGAATGCACTGCAGAGCCTTACTGGTGGACCCACTCCAGGGACAGCTGGGATTGGCATGCCTCCTCGGGGCCCAGGACAGTCCCTAGGCGGGATGGGTGGCCTTGGTGCCATGGGACAGCCAATGCCCCTTTCTGGGCAGCCACCCCCTGGAACCTCTGGGATGGCCCCTCATGGCATGGCTGTGGTGTCTACAGCAACTCCACAGAGTAAGTACTGTCCTCCTTGGCAGGTACACTGTGTGCTGTTCTGTGTTTAAGGTGTTACTGAGAAAAGTGTCAAGTAGCATCATCTAGCTCTGTCTTGGATAGCAGGATGTACAGAGGACACCAAGCCTTCTCTGTCTTGGATAGCAGGGCACACAGAGAACACTAAGCCTCCTCTAGACTTAAAGGAGTGAGCACTGCTTACCTTCCCAGCCAGGGCTGTGAGGATGGGGAGAGAGGCTTAGGTATTTGGGGGTTCGTGCTTTATTTGGTTGATTGGTTGGTTTTGCTTTTTTGTTGGGGGGATTGTTTGTTTGTTTTGGTTTTTCAAGACAGAGTATCTCTGTGTAGTCTGGCTGTCCTTGAACTCTGTAGACCAGGCTGGCTTTGAACTCAGGATCCACTTGTCTCTGCCTCCCAAGTACTGGGATTAAAGGTGTGCGCCACCACTGCTTGGCAAGGCTTAGTGTATTAGTAAAAATCTGTTGAGATTTGTGGACACAAATAAGTGATATATTGTTTGCACCCTATGCCCCACAGTGTGCCTGGAGGTCCTGGATATCTGTTGCTCCTTTTATTCAAAGACAGTCAGCCTTGGCTGTTGATTGTAGTCGTCCTCCACTGGCTCCCCTCTCTTGAAGGGGGTGCTTTGTCCTTCTCACACCTTTCTGTTGGGCACGCCCTGATTCCTGCATGCAGTTGCCTAGCTGGGACTTAGGTTGTAGTCAGCTGCTAGTCGGCTGCTTTAGTAGATTTGTTCATTTGTTTGAGACAGAGTCTCCCTATATAGTCTTGGCTGGCCTTGAACTGCTGCCTCTGCCTCCTGAGTGCTGCCGAGATTATAAACTTGTGTCCTATTCCTGGCTACTACTTGCTATTTTACAGTAAGAGATTGCTTTAGAATGTTGGGTTTGGAATGCTTTTGAGATCTGTAATTTTTCTTGTAACCCACTCCTAAGAATTGGTTTTAAATAAATTATTTTCCAGATATTCAGTGGAGAGGCTGTGGTATCCTGTCCATACCCTCTCTCCAGTATGATGCTGGCCCACATCCTGTTTTCAGCTTCCAGGGGCTGGTCTGCTGGGCGCTCGAGCTGAATACTGGAGTGGCTCTCCATTTGTGCACCCTGCTGTGCTCTCTGCCTTCCGCAGGCACTCCTGTGTCATTTAGTGGCCCGGTTCAGGTCAGAGGTTGCAGAAATAGAAGCCGCTGATACCCTTAGTAGAAAAACCTCCCTGGAGTCCTCAGGGCCCTGGTTCAGTCCTTAGCACTGGGAGATGGGGACGGGGACAACTTGGGAAAGAACTTAAAGTGTTGGTAAGAAGAACCTCCTGCTGAACCTGGTGACCTGAGTGTAATCTAACCCAGAGCCCACATTTTGGAGAGATCTGTCTTCTTTCAGTTGTCTTCTGACCTTTACATGTGTGCCATGGTATGCATGTGGCCCCTGTTGAATCAGCGTAAAAAATTTAGAAAGTATATTTGTACTTTTTATTATATGTAATAAGTTGAAAATTACTCATAAAACATTAGAAATAAGCTATAAATTTCAAAGCACTAGGAAAAATGGAATAAGAAACAAGCAATAGACAGAAGTTTCACTTCCTATCAGTATTCACAGTAGCTCAGACATGGAAGTAATCCAAGTGTTTATCAGTTCATGACTGAATAGACAAAGTAAGTGTGGGAATACAATAGAATGTTATTTGGCAATACAAATAATGCCAGTGAGGCTGATAACCTCCACAATCTGAGTGACCTTTGTGAATGCTATCTAAGTAAAAGGAGAGAGCACATGTGGTTTCTAATGCCATTTGTATGACATGTAGATAGACAAATCCTTAGATAGTAGTATATTACTGCTTTCCAGAGGCTGGGTACCTTGTCCATCCTAAAGACTCACACTCCCTTTTCTCTTTGATGATTAGAGAGTAATTCATGATGCTAAATTCCATAAACAACACAAATGCCACTTCCTACTTGATCTGTCTGTCTCTAGTAAGTACAGTGTTTAGTTACCAGAGGCAGCTTTGTCAGTAGGTAATGGCTATTGCTGCCTTCCTTGTCACATTGCTCTGGGATACCTGCAGGGTGGCACAGCCTAAGTCTAGATGCCCTCTCCAGCTCAGCTGCAGCTCCAGCAAGTGGCATTGCAGCAGCAGCAGCAGCAACAGCAGCAGTTCCAGCAACAGCAGGCAGCACTGCAGCAGCAGCAACAGCAGCAGCAGCAGCAGCAGCAGCAGCAGTTCCAGGCACAACAGAACGCCATGCAGCAACAGTTCCAAGCAGTAGTGCAGCAGCAGCACCTTCAGCAGCAGCAGCAGCACCTGATCAAGTTACATCATCAAAGCCAGCAACAGGTACCAAGTTCCCTTGTTGTTATACTGGGCCTTAGTCCTGTAGTCTTTGAGCCTGGGAACAAATGTCAGCTAAGGTCTTCGGTGCCGGGCTAAGCTAGCCCTCTGTGGGCTTCCCCATAGGTAGAAAAAGTGGATTCTAGCTCAGGAGGAAGGCCTCTCAGATGGGCTGTTGATAGGGACCACGGATCTTCTCTGTGTGGCAGGGTCTATATGCAGTATGTATGAGCTAACAGAAGGAAGAAGGGAGGCAGACATCCCAAGACTTGGGATGCTTGAGTTGTGTTGTTGGCACATTTCATGGTTTCTTTTTTTTTTTTTTTTTTGGTTAGGTGTTTTTCTGTGTAGCTTTGGAGCCTGTCCTGGAACTCACTTTATAGACCAGGTTGGCCTTGAACTCACAGAAATATGCCTGCCTCTGCCTCTCGAGTGCTGGGATTAAAGGTGTTGCCACCACTGCCTGTCTTCCCTTTTTTTCTTTTAACTTTTCTTGACTCTTTGTGGATTTCGAATCATGCATTCAGATCCCACTCATCTCCCCATCGCTTCACATCCTCCACTGTCCTTGGAACCTACCTCCCAAGACAAAATTTAAAATAACAAGCAAAGACCAAACATAATAAACAAAAATAAAAAGAAGAATCACATCCTGGAAGCTGTAGTGTGGCCCGTTGAGTCACACAGTTTACCCTTTAGTTAATTCATCTTTACTTGCAAGTATTCATTGCCATGCGTCATTGGAGTCACTGGTCTGGCTCAAGGCCTCTGGCTTCTACAACACCACTGGTAACGGGCTCTCACGGGGCTCCTCTTGGATATCCTGTTGTTGTCCTATGTCCTGGAGATCCTGCTGGTTTGGATCTGTAGGTTTATTCCCTTCATATGCTCCAACAGCTCACAGATGAAGTGGATGTTGGGTGGGCCAACTCACAGTGTTGGTGCTGGGCCTGCGTGGTAGCTTGTTTGGTCAGCCTGCCAGTTTTCTGGCATCATCAAGTACACAGGTGAGCTCTGCAGCAAGGAGCAGGGCCAGTTCTTTCTCTCAAGTTCTCATATCTGGTTCACCCACACCCACACTACCAGGGCCAGCTCTACCGTTTGCCCAGGTGAGGTGCAGGGCTGGAGGGGTGGTGGTGTGGTGTGATGTGGTGTGGTGTGGTGTGGTGTGTGCACACGTGCATGCGTGTATTCTCCTGCTCTTCACACCCTCAAGGCTGGCATTTCTTTTAAGGACACTTACAATTCCTGTTTTATTTCTTAGTATTTAGGTATAGAATCAAAATTGTTTGTGTGCTGCAGGGCAGCATTATGTAACCCTAGAAGTGCTGGTGGTCATAAGTAGTTTGCAGTCAGAATCTAGACATGCTCATATCCATTTTCCTAGCAAGTGTTGACTGAAGGAGGAAGGCCGAAGGAGGCTTGCTCCATCTTCTGGCCTCCTCTGGCTTTGGAATCTCCTTTGCCAATGCTGACTGTTAATCTTTAGCCTTACATATATTCCTATGGCCATCCTTGTGAGGATCAGACTGCTGACCACTTCTGCAGACAAAGAGCCTGTCCCGAGAGGTACAAGCATCTGCAGTTGCCTGAACTTCAGGCCTACCTGCTATGGGACTTGAACCTATTTCACTTGAATCATCCTGGTTGTGAACCATCCTTTAGTGGTCAGGGCACAAGAACAAATTTAGTTTGTTCTTAGTGTCTATAAAACAACTACTGTTGGTCTAAAGGGCTCCGAGTCCTGAATTTGACATGCTGCCCTTCCCATTATGGGAGGCCATCCTGGCAGGTTTTCCTGAAGACTGTCCCCATTTCACTTACCCCAAGCTAAGGCTAGCACCCAGAGGCCAATGAGTGGTAACTGAGTATTATTGTTTTGTCCTCAGATACAACAGCAGCAACTGCAGAGGATGGCGCAATTGCAGCTGCAACAGCAGCAACAACAGCAACAGCAGCAAGCTTTACAGGCCCAGCCACCAATGCAGCAGCCACCAATGCAACAGCCCCCGCCTCCCCCTTCTCAGGCCCTGCCCCAGCAGCTGCAGCAGATGCATCATCCACAGCATCACCAGCCACCACCTCAGGCCCAGCAATCCCCAGTTGCTCAGAACCAAGCACCACAGCTCCCACCACAGTCACAAAGCCAGCCTTTGGTGTCACAAGCACAAGCCCTCCCTGGACCAATGCTGTATGCTGCCCAACAGCAGCTGAAATTTGTGAGTACCCAAGACCTATGGCGTAGCAGCTACACCTCTTATGGTGTGTGTCATAAGTTTCTTAGACTCAGTGGGTGTAGGTAGTGTGTCCTTTGTGCACTGGCTTCAGGCAGTCTTTCCTATTCGAGTCTTCTTATCCAGCTCCATAGCACATGTAGGTGAGGGAGTGTTTCTTACAGCTATTTCCACATACTTCAGACTGTCACATCTTCTAAACTGCATGGCTGATTTCAGTAGTGTCTGTGGCATGTCTGGTACACGTGGCTAGATTAAGAGGTAATCTCACCATGTGGGAGGATATGCTCATCAGCTGTTCTGTGGGTTTGTTTTTCTGTTGGTGCTAGGGGTTGAACCTGGGAGCAAACTAAACATGTGCTGTACCACAGGCTCCAGCTTCACCATTACCATACTACTGAGACAAGTGTTCATATAAAACTTAATAATTTCCTGCGTCATTGCACATCTTGATATGAAGTAAATCTCACAGCATTCACAGGAAATAGACTACTGCCACCAAGACTAGTTGACATGAAAGAGACAATTTGAGCATCCTTTCTGCCCCTGAGGGCTTTGTGGCCTTTTCTACCTGTGATTGACGAAGTGACATGGGGACAGGGATCCTCACCTTAGCTGAATGCCAGGGTAAAGAACAGCAGCAAACTTTGCTGGAAGGGTTGTGAGTTGCGGGTATGGTCACTCACCGATTACCTGGAGTCAGCCTTTTGGGACCAGAACTGTGTGTACTCCCTGACAGGGTGCCTACTAGAATTTGGGCCTGGTAGCTTGGAAATCTCAGGAGAAGCTTCCAATGTAGATCTGGCCAGGACCCGCCCTGTACCTATAGTGGCGTCTCCACGTTAGTCCCACAGTTATATGTGTTTCCTGTCTTCCGTCTCTCTAGCTAAGCCGTCTGCCAGCTGGCCAGCCTGCTTTCCTTCATGGAGTCTGGGCACTCAGCGTCACTCTTCCCGACTGAGCAGGCCAGGCTGTGTGCTCAGCTTTGGAAGTTGTTGCTTAGCTTGTGGCTGTGGTTGGTCTACATGGGAGGGCTGTCTTGTTTGTTGCCAGATTTGGGAATGTGGGACTTGGTTTTGCCAACTCATAGGCAGGCTGGTGTGGGATGTTTCTTTTGAAACCCTGTGTGATCAGGCACAGACAATAAGGTGACATCATAGTTCATGGTGTCGTTGCAGTCCTGTCCCTCATCCCAAAAGGAGGCTTCATCTTAAAAAAAAAAAGTGTTTTTTTGATGGGGGAACGGATTTCGTGTGAGCAACAGTTGGAGTGTCAGTTCTCTCCGACCACACAGGTCGTCAGGCTTGGTGGCAGGCATCTTTACCCACTCAACCATCTCACCAGCTCTGAAAAGTTCCATTCTTAAAGCTCCCACACAGGTAGTGGGTGCTCTGCTCTCTGTGCAGGTTCCAAGTTGCTTTTTCCTTCCTCCTTCAAGGTCCGTGCTCCGATGGTGGTCCAGCAGCCGCAGGTGCAACCCCAGGTGCAGCAGGTACAGCCCCAGGTGCAGCAGCAGGCGGCAGTGCAGACAGCACAGGCTGCCCAGATGGTAGCTCCCGGCGTCCAGGTGAGGGCCTTGGGAGCCCAGGGTTTCTTTAGTCACTAGCAGGTGCGTGCCTGCCTATGCACAAAGCTCTTTGATCAAAGTTCTTTTGGATTAGAGGCTAAGATGGTAAAGTGGCTGTGGCTGCTTGGTACTTTCCTGGTGTGTGTTGTTTCTGTTTTTCTTTGGTACCCTCACCTTCCTTTCTTTCTAGCACTTGAAGGGGATGCTTTAGAGGAAAGCTTCAAAGTTTCATCCTCTTTCAGCTTCTGCTGGAGCAGCTGAGCTCAGCTGCTGGGATGGAGGGCAGCTCTTCAGAGGGTGACGGGAATGGTAGTCGGTATGTGGCATGTGCCACAGCAGGGTCAGGGAGAGAGCGGCCTGGACTTGCTACCCTCAGAGGCTTGTGCTCTGTAAGGAAAGTGTTTTACAGCATTCCTGCCACTGACACCTGCTCTTTGCATGTCAGATGTCAGTGGGATGGCAGCATGCAGGAGGCTTGAGCTAGCTTTTCTTGGTGTCTGAGGACTTGGACTTCTGGGTCCTTGTGATTTGTCTCAAAGATCTGCTTTGTCTTTGTGCTGGCACAATTCTTGCCAGCAAGTAGGCATGCTGAAAGTCCTGACTTGGGCCTTAGCCAGGAGCTCTGGCAAGGCTCTTGCTGGGTCCTATCCACAGAAAGTACCATTGACTACACTGTGTCCCCTCCCAAGGCCAGTGCTGAAGCTCATGAGCCAGGTGAGCTCAGGGTCTAGATGCATGACCGTGAGTCAGGTGCTTAGGATGTGTCTGGAATCACTCTGCATTGTTGAGGAGTGCTTAATGACAGCTCTTCCTGATCCTCAGTGGTACATTCGCGAGGGTACCTGAGGAGAGGTGTCACTGCACCAAGTGACCAAGGTCCAGGGTTCTTGTGCCACCTACACAATCAGATTCATGTGACCTTGTGTGAAAGCAGCATGGTTTCCTGTGTGGGACGTGGGGAAGCTGAGCACCTGTGGGGTTACTGTCCATTTCCCATCACTACTCTGTGTCTCAGGCTGCTGGTGACTCCTTCCTTTTGATGAACTGTGCAGAGGAGGTATGGCTGAGAGTCAGCACAGTAATGACACAGTGACTGCCCTGCTGCTGGAAGCCATTTTTCTGGTTTCTTGATGACCTTCTCTCCATTGACCTGCGACTCAAAAGCTATGGACCTCTGCATTGCTGACTCAGCCCAGTAAGAAACAGAGGGCGTCCCCTTTCATCCATCTCTTAGCATTGGACAATAGCCATGAAAGGACAACAGATGCCACCGGTTGTGGGCCTGTTGTGACTGTTTGCTGGCTTCTTCCTGGAGGAAGTGTTTATCCTATTGCTAGCTTTGCTGGTGTCTTGTCGGCCATCAGAAGCAGGTGTGGTCATGTGTGCTTAGTGGTCCCCAGCAAGCCTCCGTGTGAGTGCACACACGGCTCCCTTCAGTCCCTTGCCCCTGCCTTGCTACTGCGGGAGTGTGGCCAGCTGTCAGAGTCACCTGGAACACACAGCTCTTGTCAGTGTCCCTGCTACCCCAGTGGGAGATGAGTGGCAGGTGCAGTTTAAGGTAGGCATAGGTCCTTCCTGTTCAGGTGGAACAATGAGAAATTGTCTTACCTGGTGGTTGACAGGGTGGTGGCTGTTCTGGTTTATTTCCTCATGGAATTGGTTTTTAGGACTGTGCTGTCAGTGCTTTGGTGCCGGCTTCAATGCCTTCTCTGGCCTGCGTTTCTAGTGCACTGTGCTCTTTAGTCCAAATGTGATGTCTTGAGTCAATCCTGCCACTGCTGATTTTCTTTCTTTTTGAGAACAATGTTATTATAACCTCTTTTTTAAAAAACTGTTATTATATGCATATGTCTAAATGTATGTGTAGAAATTATATTTCTAAGTCTAACCTATTCAGTCCATATAATGTATGCATTTTTGGGAGCTGATCATTTAGCACTCAGCATCCAGTTGATGTGCTTTTGCCTGGGGAGGCCACTGCTCATGCTCCCGGCTTTCTTCAATGGCCTCTACATAGGTGGAGGCCTCATAGCTTTTCTTGTCCACTTGGGCATGTCCACTGGTGTCATCTTGTCCAACTCACATTTTTTGGGCAGTCTTGTTGGTAAGACTTTATGGATGTAGTTTCTGATGTTAGTAGGAGACAAACTCACAGCAAACTCCCTGATCCTTTGGCTCTTACAATCTTTGTGCCCCTCTTCTGAAATGTTCTCTTACCCTTAGGTGAGGGAGAGTTTTGTAGATGTATCCACTGGGACTGGGCTTCATAATTCTGCGTATCGATTAGCTGTTGTTTTCTGTAATGATCTCTGTCTGTTGCAAAGAGAAGTTTTCTAAATGAGAGTTGAAAACTACTACACTAGTACTGAAGTAGTTGGCTAGGTTTCCAGTACCAGGCTTAATCTCCTTCTCGTTAAGTCGGTCTTATGTCCAATTACAAAGCTGTTGGTTACTGTCGTATGTGTGCCGTTACTGCACACCTCTCAGAGCTACCCTGCCACACTAGTCATTGATGTGGTTCATAGACATCATAGCTGGGTAGGGCCGTTGGTTGCCTTCCTCTTTCTGGTACCACGAAAGCTAGTCCACAAGGAGGTGGTATTTGGGTCATTTCCAGTTCCGAGGTCTGTGGGCTCTGTTTCTGAACTCCATGGTGTCTTCAGCAATAGACACTTGTTTTCCACCTATGGGGGAGGTAATCAAGGGCAACAGCAGTAGACTGTATGTTTGGGAATCTCTTGGACAGCCCTGGCCAACACTCAAAAGAGGCCTTCTCATGTCTACTATGGGGTTTTGTTAATGTGGTCTTTGGGACTAAAGGGAGCACTGCCAGCCCTGATAAGAAAAGTTCATTCATTAAAGTGTGTGTGTGTGTGTGTGTGTGTGTGTGTGTGTGTGTGTGTGTGTGTGTGTGTGTGTGTGAGAGAGAGAGAGAGGGGGGGAGGGAGGGAGGGAGGGAGGGAGAGAGAGAGATTTTATATTCGCATATCTATACATGGGATTAACTTGTAGGTTGTTTATTTATTTGGGTAAATGGTTCTCTGTGTCTTTTCAAACATCCTTACTGTTATTTCATATAACTCCCTATCTACTTCTGTATTTGCCTCCCTCCTCCCTTGTCTTCCCGCTCTCCTATGGGGCCGCTGTGTCTTGCTATTTACTCCCCTTTGCCCTTCTCCCGCCTTCTGCATTTACCTACCTCGCACAGTTCTCAGTGTGGGCTGGTGACTGGTCTCCTTGCATTTTTCTGAAGTATAGGGGAGAGGAGCATGGCTAGGTGGCTTGGGCATGATAGGTCCTTCTGAAGAGAAGGGCCCTGGAATCATGGCTTCTTTGAAATTCATGTTGCCTCGGTGTCAGGAAAAGGGCTGTAGTACTCTTATTTATGAACCTTAACAAAACAGAAAGGGTGATAACTGCAGGAAGTGGGGGGGGGATGGGAGAAGAAGGGGAAGGGGAGAGAGGGAGAGAGGGGAAGAGAAGCACCAGAGCAAGAAGCGGTGACTGCAGTTCTGGTGTTTCCACGTCACTGAACTTGTGTTGTCTATGCAGGGTTTTTATCTGGACTTGCCTCAGGAACACCTGGCTGACCTTGAGTGGCTCATCCTTTCTCCACCTGTGAGTGTAGGTCACAGGCGTGCACAGCACTCAGTGGACGCAGTGTTGTAGAGCCAGGGCTTTGTGCGTGCTAGGTGAGCACGCCATCGTCTGTATCCCAGCAGTTTCTATGTCCTGTTTCCACATGGTGTGGAAAGAGCTCCAGGTGATGGGGTGCAGAAGGAAGGGTCGTTTTGGCTCCCAGACGTGGAAGATTCCCCCTGCAGCTGCTTGACTATTGCTTTGGGGCCCTTGTTGGGACAATGCCTCATGACAGGGAGCATGTGGTAGATGGAAGCTGCCACTTAGGGCAACTGGGACGTGAAAGAGAGGAAGAGGGACCCACGCTGCAGTTTCTGTAGTCATATCCTTTAGTAGTTACTTTTCCTGTTGCTGTAGTGAACTACTCTGACAAAAGAAATTTGAGGAGTTTTTCTGGCTCACAGTTCACGGTCCAGTTCATTATGGTAGGAGTCAAGGTTGCAGAAGCTTGAGGCAAAGAGCAGCCAGGAGTGGTGGTGCACACTTTAACCCACCACTCTGGGAGAAGAGGCCTGCAGATCCCCAAGTTCAAGGCCAGCCTGGTCTACATAGCAAGTTCCAGACATATTCCAGCCACATAGAGAAACAAAACAAAAAGTAGAGAGCAGTGGATGCTTGTACTCAGGTTACCTTCTCTTGTTGCATAGTTCAGGCCCAGCCTCAGGAGTGGAGTCATGCACCTTGGTTAGGGTAGTTAAGGTGATCCATCAAAGGGATGCTGGGAACTTGTCTCCTGCGTGATTCAAAAGACAAGTTGACAGTTAACACTATCACTTCTACACTGACCTAAAGTAAAGGTCTTATCCCTTCCAGTAGTACTAACCTGAGAAATGAGCTTTAACAACATTTGTTTAGGGGCTGGAGAGATGATGGCACAGTGGTTAAGAGCACCGACTGCTTTTCCAGGTCCAATTCCCAGAACCCACGTGGCAGCTCACAACTGTTCCAGTTCCAGGGGCCCCTATACTCTAACAATTATTTACATGCAGGCAAAACACTAATGCTCATATTATAAAAATAAAGTTTTAAAAAGTATCTTCATGTGGTAGCTATTTAACTCCAGCACTCAGGAGGCAGAGGCACGTATGTCTCGGAGTTCAAGACTGGCCTGGTCCACAGAGTGAGTTCCAGGACAGCCAGGCTACACAGAGAAACCCTGTCTCAAAAAAACAAAAAGAAACTTGTGGACATGGTGAGCAAGTTCTCCGCCACTGAGCCTCAGACCACAACTAAGTTTCTAAGGCTTGTGATTGGAGATCAGAGAGCGCCCTCTGCGGGCAGAGATTGCTGGGCAGCCTTATTGAAGTGAAGCTATCCTTACTGCTGTTGTCAAGTATTGCCTTGTTTTTGGATCTTGAAGTGATTTTACAGTGTGTGGTTGGGTTCAAGACAGTTTTTGTAGCTTCTCAGGAGTGGGCACAGGTGGCTTTGAGGGCTTTCGCACAGCATGGCCAGCTATCTGATTAACTAGGAGCTCAAAGACAGGGTTTCCTACCTGGTGCCCATGTACTCTGCCTGGACGAAGAAACCACATGTCTCAGGTTTGTGTGTGAACTACCACATGCCACAAAATAGGCCAGTAGCCAACCCTGTGAAGTTGTCGGCATTCATTCCTGAAGTATGCTCTCGGTAGCAAGGGTATCCTGGTAGAGCCTATACCAGTGCCATGGTGATTTGTGTGGTGATGGTAGTAGAGCTCTTTGCCTGGAGTGAATGTTCTAGAAGGATCAGTAGCCCTGCGCTGTTTTTTTACCCGGCTCTTATCTGATGGTGTTCATGTTGCCGATAGAGATGAAATCACCTTCAGTAGAATTTACTGGGCTCCAGCAGTAAAACCAGAGTAGAGTATGTCTTTATTTTCCTAATGCATTCACTTTCTGTTCTGGTAACACACAACTGAGCAATAACTTAGGTGACAGAATTGCCAGCCAAGACAGACATCTGTCATATGTCCACACACAGTACAGCGGACTTAGAATTGATCTTTGACTGAACCTTGACCCAAAGGGTCCCTGTGTCCCTCAGCCTTCCTGTACAGTGGCTACAGCTGGGAACTAGGCTGGCTGCTCTGGTCTCTCCTTTGCAGTATATTGAGAAGTAGAGAAAGGTTGTACTTGGTAGCTGGTCATCTGATCCTATAAACATTTACGGTGCTTTCCCCTGGGATTTTGCCTGGAAGAAAATGAGCTTTCCTGGTCAGAAGTTCTTCATAAAGAAAACTGTCAGGACCTGGAGAGAATGTACAGAACGTAAGAGCACTGGCTGTTGATAAGGACCCAGGTTTGGTTCCCAGCACCCATGTGGTAGCTTACAGCATGTGTACCTAACTCTCTCTTCTGCCCTCCAAAAATATTGCACGTTCATAGTGCACAGAAATACATGCAGGCAGAGCACTCAGACATGGGAAATTAAAGAAATCCTAAAAATAAACTAAACTGATCTGGAGAGACAGCTTGGAGGTTAAGAACCCAGAGACTATGGGTTCAGTTCCAGCACCCACATGGTGGCTTCCAAACATCTGTAGCTCCAGTTTCAGGGAATCCAGTGCCCTTTTCTGACCTCTGTAGGTACTAGGCATGCACATGGTACAATATAGTCATAGGCAAACTCATAAATGTAAGATAAATCTTTAGTAAATAAATAGGAAAAACAGCCAGAGGGTCCATAGTGTTTCCTTCTCTGTGGCTTTTCTTGTTTCTGGAGACAAGTGGTACCTCTCACCTCACATGGTTTTCTTCTGGATGCTCTGTCATTTGGAAGGAGTATTGCAGCCACCAGTTGTGAATGAACCTTCCTGAGTGACCACCGATTCTATCAAGAACCCTGAAATAAATTACCTTTATCTCCTCCTCATCAGGTGTCCTGTACTACCATCACCACACAAATCACCATACCTGTCACCCTGGCACTGGTATAGGCTCTACCAGGGTAGGCAGAGGGCCCTTGAACATCTAGCCCTCTTTGTGACTGCCAGTAACCCGTTGAGGGATGGGCTGTTTGACAGCCACCATCAGGACAACAGGTTTGTTTACTGCAGGAGTGGTGAGGGTTGTGCCTTTCTTGGCTCTTGGGATGCTCTCTTTGGAATCTTCTGTGGTGCTTGCTGCATGCACCTCCTGTGTGTGAGCATGCATCCTTTGTGTGATGCCATGGGGCCCTCAGAGGCCTGTCCTGGAGCCCTGTCTCTAGCTGCCTTTGCTGCGCAGATTGAGTAATTTCCAATACCATCCTGCTCTGGTAGCTCAACTCATAGCTTCCCGGGACTCAATGGTTTGCTTTTTTGAAGTGGGGTCTTACCACATTGCCCCTGTTAATCTCTTAACTCCTGGATCGAAGTGATCATCTCACGTCATTGGGTTTGTTTTGTTTGGTGGGTAGGTCCTGCTTTCTGTACCAGGTTGTGTTATTTTGTTCTAGTTTGTGACATGCTGAGTGCATGTAGGCCTTGCTTTCTAGGAGTTAGGTTGGGTTCCATCCCTACCTCAGAGCACAGAGTAAGGACAGCCAGCCCGAAAGCCATGACAGTGATAGCCTGACCTTGGCTGGCTGTATGAACCAAGAAACAGAAGTTGACCCAGGGAAAGGTCTCTGTTGGCCTTGAAGCTCCTGACTCTGGGGCTGTTTTTATGTCCCTGTGGAGAGCCCTTCATCATTTGTGAGGAAGCCCCTTAGGAGAACCCCAGACTCTCCTGCCACCCACCCCCCATCCTCCACACTTCCAGAATCAGTGTCCCCAGGAGGCTAGATAGATCCGTTTGCCTTGGCCTCCAGGTGCACTTCTAAGAGGATGGTGTGATGAGCAGGCTGCTGCTTCAGAGACATTTCCAAGTTTGTCCCAAGAACTAGGTCTTCCTAAATTGCCACCTGAACAGTCTGGCTTTGACACTGTCCAGGCCTTAGGGCATGTTCTCTCTACAGCTCAGAGGTGTGTTCAGGACAAGCACTGTGAATTCTGGCTACACTCTTGGTACCTCTTGACTTCCGGTGCTCAGGCTGTACCCCGAGCCTAAGGATATGTGCTTGAACATGTCCTCGAGCATCCCTGCACATCTGTGTCATTTGAAGGGGCCTCACCTCTGAGGCCACTCCACTCCACGAGGCTGCACACACCCTCACCTGCCATGCACTGCAGTTCTTGTTGCAATTACCTTGTCTGTTGTCCCTCTATCCTCAAAGATGATTGCTGAAGCCTTGGCCCAAGGCGGGATGCACGTAAGAGCCCGGTTCCCGCCCACCTCCACCATGTCTGCTGGCCCGTCAAGCTCCGTCTGTGTGGGCGGACAGCCCACAGCACAGGTATTTACAGATCGGCCCAAACTCGGGTTCCTCTGAGCATCTCCGTGAAACAGGCCTCCTTTCACTGTCAGTGACTTCCTTCCTGGTGGCTTTCAAAGCAAGAAAGCAAGGGCTGCATTTTGTTTGAGGCCACGCCCTACTGGTCGGTCTTTCTCTCTTTCCTTCTTTTGAGATAGGGTAGCCTTTGTAGCTACCTACTAGGTGCCTCTGTGTAACATTGGCTGTCCTGGAACTCAAGAGATCTGCCTGCCTCTGCCTGCCTCTGCCTGCCTCTGCTTCTGCCTTCCGAGTTCTGGGACTAAAGGCATATCACCATGCTTAACTCTTGCTGATGTCTCTTCAGGGGCTTTTTCTTTACTGTAAAATTGTCATACTGCTTCTGTTTTCATGGTAAAATAAAACAGAAGACATAGGCCAGGGATGTAGTCAAGTTGGCAAAGTACTTGCCTAGCATGTACAAGGCTCTGGGTTTGATCACTAAGCTTTATGTATAAAATTGAGTGTGGCAGTAATTCTAGAACTCCTGAAATGAGTTTGAAGCAAACCTAGGTTCTGCTGTCTGATACTGTAGCACTGTGTGGGGCTGTTACGTTCCAACCAAGCATCCCGTCCTCAGTAGTACCAGTCACATTTTAAGTACTCACTGCTGTTGAGTTGTGTGGTCCAGATTACTGCAGACAACTATCATGGGCAAACATTTTGCTGGGCCAAAATACTCTAGAGTTTGCTGGGAGGAGTGAGTCATTGCCACATAGAAACTGTGGACCACATTCTGTGCACTTGATGATGTCATGGAAATGCGCTGTACACTACCATATGCAATTTGGACTCACATTCCCCCACCACAGTGTATTCATTTGCTTAACAGCATTCCATGAGTCTACCTTCTTTGCAGATTATGAGGGTAGGCTGGTGTTAATGCTCTTTCATTACAGGGCTTTCCATTTTAGCAAGTTTATCGTAAAAAGCCTGATCACTAAAAGAACTTTAGAATTCCTTTTCCTACACAGGAAAGCGCATCTATCATTCTAGCAGATGGAGTCGCTGCCCTTGCCTAAGGGCCCACATGCAGGATCATTCCCCCACATAGTCAGACATGGGACAGTTGTGTAGCTTCCTCCAAAGAAGGTGCAGAGACCTCTAGCTCAGTATACATTGGGTTCTCAGAATCGGGTGGAAATGTGGGGACAAATGACTTACCAGCACAGAAGACTGTGAGAAACAAAGTCCCCAACATTTCGAGGGTGTGTGTTGGGATTAAAGGCGTGCGCCACCATGGTCCTTAAAGCACATTCATTTTTGCTTGCCTGCTCAGAAGATAAAGGCCCTGAGAATACTTAAGGGAGTACAGCTGTCTGATTCTGGCCCTTCCCACATTCCCAAGGGCCAGGACAGCAGCATCCACACTGCCTGTCTGTGACACATGGTGAATGTAAGCAGACAGTACCATGACAAGAGTGTTCCTTGGTTCTCTGGGTCAGGAGCAAGGGCAGTTTTAAGTGCTAGGCAGATATAAGGTCCAGAGAGGAACAGAACCACAGTGCCATCCTGTCTGGAGTTTCTCTGTGGCCCTTTGGAGTAGCCTCCCTCCCCAGCTGTGGCTCTTCCCCATACCTCTGCTCCTTGCTCAGTGACTCTGGTTAGAGATAGTCTTTACACTGCTTCTTGTACCAGGAGTGTCTGTGATGACTAGGACTTGAGCAGCGTGACACTGACTCCTAGAAGGTTTTTCTAGGGGGCTGGATTTCCAGATCATGGACCTGAAAGGTACCCTTGGTTTGTTTTCCTTCCTGTTAGAAATCCAGGGAGTCCCAATAGGGGAGAGACCCTTGTTTGTTTGTTTGTTTGTTTTGTTTTTTGAAACAGGGTTTCTCTGTGTAGTAGCTCTAGCTGTCCTGGAACTAGCTCTGTAGATTAGGCCTGCCTCTGCCTCCCGAGTGTTGGGATTACAGGCATGTGCCATCACCACTTGGCCAGGAGAGACCCGCTTGTCTCCACAGGCATGCCCCTTTGGCTGGGTCCTGGGGTTTTTCCCTACACTGGAGGCTTCTCTGTCCCCCATACTCTGCTGATTATTGCTTCTTCATTTCTTAACTACTGCATCATATCTTGGGACTACTGCTTTGATCTCTGCTATGTCCTCAGCAAGGGCAGAGGGTGTCAAAGCTTGTATCCTTTACCCAAGTGTGGGTGTTACCGTGGGACATGAACTGTGAGGTTTCTTTCTACTTCGTGGCCCTGCTCAGTCTTGTATCTCTCTGTGTGCCTAACTGTCCCATATAATACGCCTGAGCTTTAAACTGTGGCCAAGGAAGCTGCTGCAGCCAGTATCAAATGTGTAGGCAGATGGCACAGAGAATGAGAAGGGGTTCCAGGGTCTCCTGGGAACCTGTGAGGGAGGGGCAGTAACCCACTGTAGCAAAGGCCTGACCAACAGGGAAGGACTTGGACCACAGTCTTTTTTGTACCATCTGTAGTCTGCATGGAACTGTATGTTTCTAGGTCTTTGATAGGACACGGGTTGACTCCAAGCAGGTTTTATGGTCTGTGTAACATGTGCCTCCGGTGTCCATGGATTCCTAATGCTGGATGCTCATAAGAGACCTCACATTGTCCACCCAGCCCACCTCTGACCTCCTTAAGTCAGGGTGAATCTCTTCTCAGAGGAAGACTGGGGTGACTGTCCAGCAGCCTGAATTTGCTCTCCTGCTCTCCACTGGGCAAGAGTTTCTTGGTCACAGCGTGATAGCATTGTCTGGGACACTTTTTTGACATTTTTTTTTGTTGTTGTTTGTTTTTTTCAAGACAGGGTTTCTCTGTGGTTTTGGAGGGAGATTTTATTTTTAATTATGTGTTTGTGTGTGTATCTATGTGGGAGTTTGTACATGTGAGGACAGTGCCCACAGAAACCAGAAGGCGGCATTGTGTCCTCTGGAGATGGAATTATATGTGGTTGTGAGCTGCTCCAGGTGGGTTCTAGGAACTAAATTTGGGCTTGTGAGCTTAGTCAGTGGTTCTGAGATGGCAGAGCAGGCTATTCTGCCAGGCCCCATGCTGTCCTTGGCCTGGCCAGTGTGGGGTGAGCAGGAATCATTTTCCTTGTTGGATCTGCACCTATTTCCAGTTGAGAACTTAAGACCCTGTTCTTGGATAGTACTCTGTACCCAGCGTCACCGTGATGTGGCAGAGATGGTGTGGGAGGATGTGAAGGTTGGCCCCAGCTGGCCATCAGTGTCTAGTAAATGGGGAGAGGCAGCTGATTGAGCCGGTCCATGAACTGGCTGGCCTGTGAGCCACGTTACAGGCTGTGGGGTTGCTTGTGCATGGTGACTGGCTGGGGTGTAACAGGTGCTCCCTTGGATGTTTGGGGGCCTTTTGAGTTGGTATGGCCTTCAGGGTGTCCCAGGATAGTAAGAGAACAGTGAGCAGCATCTTACGCTTCTCTGCTGAAAAGTGGGGGCACGTACATCCTGTTGCCTCTGCCTGGTTCTGTGATTTCTTCCAGTTCTTAGATAAAAGTCAGTGGCCCTGGTGCTGCTAGTGGTGGTATAGTCCGCCCTGTATCTGGTGTCCAAATGTGCATTGACAGCAGAGGGCAGCCACCTCTGTGGACAGAGCCAGGCCTCTGAAGCCATCCATAGGTGCTCTGGGCCCAGGGCACTCTGATACAAGTCACTCATCCCTTCAAGTAGGCTCAGCCAGGCTAGCCAGAGGTGCTATGGCGTCAGTGTAGTCACTTAGAGATATGCATGTGACTCCTTGGCCACCTCACCCCAGGTAAGATCAGGTGAGACAGCAGTATCCGCACAAGCCACAGAGCAAGTCACTTTGTCCAAGGCCATGTCCTTGGAGCTAGAGTCAGACTAGAAGACTCATGGTGGCATACAGGGAGACTGTCATTAGGCTAGCCCAGGACAGCCTTTACTAACCCTTGGTGAAGTGTTTCCTAGATTAAGCAGAATGTGACGAGCATAAGGCCTTCCTGGGCTCCCTGCTTACACACCAGTACTTGAGAAGCAGGCCTTACAGCTATCCCAGTCCAGAGCCCTGAAGTCCTCATGCTCCTGTCCCATTGAGGAGCCAGGCTGCCCACCTGGCCTTCCTCCAGCCCTTGGATACCATATGCTGTGTGCACCCAGAAGTGAGCTTTTGCTTGGGTGTGTAGCATCTTGAAGAGCAAAGGGGATGGAAGCAGTGGGTGCTTTGGGCAGGTTGTGTGTAGCGTGAAGCTGGCTAAATCTCCTCACTTCCAGGTCAGCCAAAGCAGCCTCACCATGCTGTCCTCACCATCACCGGGCCAGCAGGTGCAGACCCCACAGTCGATGCCCCCTCCCCCACAGCCATCCCCACAACCTGGCTCACAGCCCAACTCCAATGTCAGGTAGGCTGCTGGGGATGCACACAGCCCCCTCTTCTGCCCCAGCCTCAGAGCTGGCCTGGTGTTCTGAGCTCAGACCTGTTTTTATTCACCCGGCTGCAGCTCCGGCCCTGCCCCATCCCCCAGCAGCTTCCTGCCTAGCCCGTCACCACAGCCTTCTCAGAGCCCAGTGACAGCACGTACCCCGCAGAACTTCAGTGTCCCCTCTCCTGGACCTTTAAACACCCCTGGTAAGTGGGACCTGGGCTGCTTGGACAGCTCTACAAGGTCCCTAATGCCCCTTCCCCTCCCAAGGTCTCAAATGATATAAAGGGCTCATGGGACCCTCGGACCTGTACACCTGCCCCACAGGTTGTAGCCACGCATCTTACCCCTCCTGTCCCCTCCAGTGAACCCCAGTTCTGTCATGAGCCCAGCTGGCTCCAGCCAGGCTGAAGAGCAGCAGTACCTGGATAAGCTGAAGCAGTTGTCCAAGTACATTGAGCCCCTGCGACGCATGATCAACAAGATTGACAAGAATGAAGGTAGGCTGGCCCAGACTAGGATGGGACCAGGACTTCCAGGGTTGCTTCTTAGTGTCCTCTTTCTTTCCCAGACAGAAAAAAGGACCTAAGTAAGATGAAGAGCCTGCTGGACATTCTCACTGACCCTTCTAAGCGGTGAGCACTGCTCTAGGGCCCTGGGCAGGACTGTGCTATACTACAGCTCACAGACAGTCCCCAAGACTTGGTGACAATGTGGCTTTAACAAAGGGTCCAGCAGCTCTGTGAGCCATACTTGAAGCACAGATGGCTTTACAAGTAGGTATGTGCCAAAACTTCACCCTGGCCTGCCCACCCCAGCACCCACCCTTCAACCCTGTTTGAGGCTCCGTGGACCTCACATTTCCACCTGTGACTGTCATACCCAAGTTCATGGGCCACTGTGCTAGGTCCTGGCTTGTAGCGGCCCCACCTTCACCTACCCACGACAGGCTAGCTGAGTCTGCCTTTGACTCTCCCTGACTTGCCAGTGACCTTTGTCATTCAGCTGTGTCTCGCTTACCCCGTGGGCTGTAGGCCCAGCTGCAGCTGTGTGCACTAGTTATAAAATGAACACTGGCTGCCAGGCTTCCAACTCCTGCCTACCAGCCACAGGTGCTGTTAACACCAATGTTCAGGGCTGTGTACATGCATGTGTCTCCACACCTACTGAAGTGACACAGCTCAGCTCACCTTTGGGAGGTCCTCCTAGCTGTCTAATAGTCACTGCCGGGTGGGCCTGTTGGAGCAACACAGTCCTCCAGAGCCAAGATAGGGCCAAAGCTGGCCTGGGTGAGATTGAGACCTGATCGCTGGGTCTGTTCTGGAAGAAGCTAGTGGGCTGGGACTCCTGTGATGGTTTCCAGTGGCAGAGACCCCAGAGGCTACCTGGATGGTGATCGGAACCAGCACCCAAGAGTCACCTGCTCTAGTCCTTCAGCAGAGTGTCAGATCATGCACCTCTCCTTAGGTGTCCCCTGAAGACCCTGCAGAAGTGTGAGATTGCCCTGGAGAAACTCAAGAACGATATGGCGGTGGTAAGTGGAGCCTAGGGCCCGTCCTGTGGAAGGAGTCTTTCTGGTCAGGGTTAGCGCTGTTAAGGACAGAACCTGACCTGGAAATGCTACCTAGGGGAACAAGGAGGGGAGAAGTCGCTCTCTGCCGCCAATCCTGTCTGCCAGCTCTGTGTGGAGGGAGGGCACTGGGGTGGGAGTGAGGCTGTAAGGTTGGAGATAGGCTCAGAACCCGCACCATTGTTTGCACTCCGTCAGGGCGGGGGCTGTTGAGGACCCTGGGATCTGGAAGACCCCTCAGAATGATGAGGCCTTGAGCCCAGGACACTGACCTTGTCTCCCGTCTTGTCTCTAGCCCACACCCCCACCTCCACCAGTTCTTCCAACCAAACAGCAGGATTTGTGCCAGCCACTCCTAGATGCAGTCCTGGCCAACATCCGTTCACCTGTCTTCAACCATTCCCTGTACCGTACATTCGTGCCAGCCATGATGGCCATCCATGGCCCACCTATCATGTATGTACACCCAGGTTGGGCATAGTGATAAGCAGCAGGCCAGAGGCTGTGTGACATCTGCATAATTACTTTAGTCCCCTCTTCCAGGTCCCCAGTGGTGTGTTCCCGGAAGCGCAGATTTGAGGACGATGAGCGACAGAGCATTCCCAATGTGCTGCAAGGTGAAGTAGCCAGGTTGGACCCTAAGTTCCTGGTGAACTTGGACCCTTCTCATTGTAGCAACAACGGCGCTGTCCACTTGATCTGCAAGCTGGGTGAGTCTCTGGGGGCGGGGTGAGTGGCTTACCATCCATGCTGGAGGCCAGTCGCCAGGGCCTTCAAGCAGCGCCTGCAGACTGTCCTATGCTTGCATGGCCTGCCACACAGCTGCTCTAGCCTCACTTTTCACTCCCTGCCCCAGCTCCCCAGCTCCTCCAGCCCCTGAGCCACAAACATAGCTGTGGTTGCTAGAGGTCTTGGGGAAACAACTGGCAGGGTCCTGTCTGCACAGGTGTTCCCTAGTTTAGAGCCTGAGAACCTCAGGTCTCTGGGTCTGCATCAGGCTTTAGTGGAGCCTGTGGAGGGCAGAGAGCCCTTTCGGAAGTAGGCTGAGGTCGGCAGGGTTGTGTTGCTGCTTGCCAGGCTGTTGGCCAGGTCATATGTGCAGTTTTTGTGTCACAGATGACAAGGACCTCCCTAGTGTGCCACCACTGGAAATCAGTGTGCCTGCTGACTACCCTGCCCAGAGCCCAATGTGGATCGACCATCAGTGGCAGTACGGTGGGTGAACCTAAAGAAACCATCTGGCGACCCAAGGCGGGCAGGGGTCATCTCTGGGCATCCAGTGTCCCTATACAGCAGAGAGATGCTTCCCGTCTCCCTGGTGGGCAGGGTACGCTCAACAGCATTGCCTGGAGTTAGAAGAGCCACTGTGTCCTTTGCTGCCCTTCGCCTACAGTTCCAGGCACCTGTTAGTGGGGGAGAGCAATCAAGTTTATGATACTCCTTTGGAGCTCTACAGGGTAACCCAGGGCCACCAGCAGGAGCCCCGTCTGTGTGATAGGGCTCCAGGGAGAGCCCTTGGGTGGGAACAGTACCCGAGGCTCTGCTGGCACAGAGCAGGAACTGTCTGGGGCTCCAGACCCCACACAAATTCCAGTTCCTAATTGAAGGTGACTGGAAGATCCCACACTGTGGAACGATGGGGACGGGTACAAGAGCTGGCTCAGGTGCTGGCTGCCTCTCCAGGCTTGGCCCTCACGACTGCCGCTGCTGTGTTGCAGATGCCAACCCCTTTCTGCAGTCAGTGCACCGGTGCATGACCTCCAGGCTGCTGCAGCTCCCTGACAAGCACTCAGTCACAGCCCTGCTCAACACCTGGGCCCAGAGCATCCACCAGGCCTGCCTCTCAGCCGCCTAGCGAACCTGAACTTCTTAATGGCTGCAGATTTTACACCGCCTACCAGACGTTACTCCACGTTGACTTCTTAGGGCCTGGGTTAGGTTAGCTTTCCTGCTTTTACTTTCTGTCTCAGGGGCCTGCCAGACGTTCCCCATGCTTGTGCAGTATTGACCAGATAGCTGTGGAGCTGGCTGCATGAGGGCCTGCGATGGTCCCAGGAAGTTTTTCCATGGTTTCTTCCAGAAGTCAACCCCCCCCCCCCCCCCACTTCCTGTAGCCATGCTTCCTGCAGCCCTTTTGGACTCCCTGTATACTCAGTAGCATGAGAACTCAGGTCCATCTAAGCATCTCTGTGTCACAATACCATTGTACTTGTGTCTGGAGAATGGAGGACATAGGAAACCCTCACTAGACAGACACAGGCATGTGGGCACATCCTGGGGACACTTCTGCATCTAGGGCACAGGTTTCAGTTGAAGGAAAGGCCAGTAAGGCAGCAGCGGGTTCCCTGCCACTAGCAGGACTTCCCCAGAGTGCTGTGGGGAGGGGGGGCCAGCTGGGGTAGGTGCTGTCCCTGTTTCAGTGCTGAGACATGACTGTCATTGGAACCCACAGCCTCAGAACACCACATTCTTAATGTCTCCACCACCAGGAGTATGGGCTTCCTTCAGAGTGCTGTTGCCATAAGGCACATGCCACCCTGGGCGCTCTGACGAAAAGAAATTTCCCTTTTGATATGTGCACTACTCTGTCATATGATTCTTATAATAAATTTATTATTCCTGTTTGTCAGGGGTCTGCGCATCTACTCTTTGTGAGTCTGGGTCCACTGTTACGGGTGCTGTCTGTTGTGGGAGGCCTTGGGCTTGACCCACTCCTGACGTTGCATCTGGATTCAGGCCCAAGGCTTAGTCCAGTTCTACTGATGTTAATGCAGGGAGTGGGCGGTGGTGCTGTGAGGCCTGTGCTGCTGGGCGGGAATAGGCATAGGCTGACCTCTTCTGGGTGGCAGCTGCCGCTCTGAGGTAGTGTGACCTGGAGAGGACAGCTCTCCATCCCCCAAGCAGCTCAGCCCAGCCTGACTGTTGTCCAGGCATTGGGTGTCCAGGCAGCACAGGACAGTGTCTTATTTGAGAAGTAATGCCTTCAGGCCAGTCCAGTAATGAAGCCAGCTGGCTCCCGAATGCCATTGAGACTGCTGGTGTACAGCATCCCTTGGATGCAGGCACTTTCGGAGCAGCAGGGGTACCTGACAGCTGTGAGCAAGGAGGCTTAGGACAAACAATTTTTATTTTCAGTCAACAGGTAGGAGAGTAACATTTTATAATGTGCTTTTGCATAAATGCAGGAGTAATAAAATAATAGAGAAAATAGACAGTTTCCTCAGTTCTGAGAGCAAATACTTTATCTGTCATGGGTTCTGTCTGTCTTGGGATTTCGTGTGGCTGAGAAGTAGGGTTGTGAACCACCATCGAGAGAGGACGGCCGGGCTCCCGGGCGCCGGTTCAGCAGCACAGAGCGGTGCAGGCGCCGGCTCTGCACTACCTGCAGCCTTTTCTGCCGCTCAGCAAAGTTGTTTTTCAGGCTTTGTTTGAGCGCGGGCAGAATGGCCCGCTCTGCCGCAGGCATTGGGCTCAGAATTAGGCTGGGTGGAGGAAAGGACAGCCATGGCAAGTGGCTGCCAGCTGCCTCGGGCGCCCTGGACCAGCGGCTGCATGGGGAGCAGGGCCTGCCTGGCTTTACCTCTGGACACCCTACCCTCCTGACCCTTGAAGCATCAAACTGGGGGTCACCCACTCCCTGTGCCCAGGACTCACCACTTCTTCGAGAGGCCCTTGGTGGTGACCTTGGGGAACTGCATGGACTCCTGGTCCCTGGAAAAGGAAGTTAGCCTTGAAGCCCACACCTCCTCTGGGCTGGGGCAGGGCACCCGCCAGGCACAAGGCACTCACTTTGGAGAGCCCAGCCTAGCCTCCTCAGCTGCAGCTTTGGGCCTCTGCGTCCCTTCCAGGAGCGACTTCAGGTGCTGTAGCTGAAAAGGCAGGGGAAGACATGGTGGACACAGTGCCCTGTGCCACTGGCATTCAGGGTCATGTGCCTGCCTGCCCGGGGCCTCACCTCCTGGGCCTGCAGGAGGTTGGCGTTCCACAGCTGACGGATGACCACCTCACACTGCTGCACTGTGGTGGGTTTGCGCAGGTGCGGGGGCAGGCTCAGTGAGGGGGCCATCCCTGTCCCTTGCCGGCCATGGCTGCCCCCCACCAGCGTGGCCCCTGAATTAGAAGCCTCTGCATCCTCGTCTCTGAAACATTACAGCAGCCCGGAGGCGACCTGTGGGAATGAATGGTCTAGCCACCCACCCACAACCTCCCTGGGGCAGCACTCATGCTTGCCAGTGTGGTAGAGACCTATTGCCATGACCCACTAGCCAGGGTGCTCTGGAGCCAGCTTTGACCGAGGTCTGTCTTCTCCCACTGTATCAAGGAGGCAACCAGCTAAGTGCCAGGTAACCCGCCCAGCCTGCTTCTTGCCCAGAGTGGATTCAGGAGTTGGGGCTTCAGAGAAGTAGGAGCCTGACTTCTGGGGAAACTGGGGTCCCAGAGCTTGGTCTTGCTCTGTACTGTCAACCCGTGCCTCCCAAAGGCAGACTGATGAGAAATGCACCAGCTCCAGCCTTGAAGGCCCAAGGACCCAACTCAAGTGTTCTTGGAAAAACAAACTAATAGCCAGGTGTGGCGGTACACACCTGTGATTCTCATTCGTAGAAGGCAGAGGCAGGTAAAGAAAGGCCAGACAGGACGGCACATCAGGACCCAGGTCCCCCATACCATCCCCCTCCCAGCAAACTAATTAGGAGGCCAAATCACATTTTGTCTGTTCTCTGAGAAAACAGTAATTTAGGGGTTTCCACTGGTCCCCTGTATGTGATGTCAGTCAGGGGTCTCGGCAGGACCCCCAGAGGAGAGAAGAAAGTAGTGGACAGCAGCCTGGCAGCTGCCTGCTCCCTGGAGCCTATTTTCATCATAATGGAGTCAGGTTTGTAGAGACAGAGACAAGGTAACCTGATGGTCCCAAGGGGAAACCTAGTAAGGGTAAGTTTGGGGCCCTGGGGTGCAGGGCTGGTCCTCAGGTGCAAAGCAGGCCTTACTTGGCCTGTCCCTGCGTCCCGGGGACTCTGTCCAGCTTGCTGCTGTTGGACAGGGCAGCACTGCTGAGTGACTGCTCTTCGAGATCTGTCTTTTGGAGGGTGTCAGACTTCAGCTCTTGCTTCTTGAAGGAGCTGGGCTGGGACCTGGTCTTGCCTTGAGAGTTAGCTGCAGGGCACACCAACAGGGCCATCACAAAGGGCCTTGGAAGCCATAGACCTACTCTCTAGGATCAATGTACCCAAGAAGCCCTCTGCTGTCCTGAAGAGAGAGGAGACACTCTCCAGAGGGCTGCAGAGAGTGAAGCCTGTGGTGGTACCTGGTAAACATGCCAGAAAATTCAGTGGTGGATGTTGGCTTCTCTTGGGTAGAAGAAAGTGTAGAGGTCTGGGATCTGGCCTGTATGTGTTTATTTTCCAAAACCTGCTAGTCAGCAGGGGCTGCTTCTAGTGAAGTCATCAAGCCTCCTCTAGGAGGTGAATGGAAGAAGAGGCTGGGCAGGGGTGGGGGCTGTGGGTGGAGCACATACCCTCCTCCCAGAAGATGGGCTGGGGACTTGTTGCTTGAGTTCCTTTGTAAATGACACTCACTACCCTACCTGTGTGGGCCTGTTACATCATCTGGCTGTGACACACTGACGGGGCGGCCTCCCCTCAAAGACTCCTGGCCCACAGCCCCTTTCTGGCTGTTTCTGTACACAGGCTATTGGGACTGCCCCCTTTGCCAAAGAGAAGGGTTTTCAACTCTCTAGGCAGCACCTCCCGCTGGCTGCCCAGTATGGGCCCCATGCTCACCGGATGCAGTGGAGTTGGAGGCAGACTTGGAGTGAAGGCTGGATGTAGAGATGCTGCCTGTGGAGAAAAGCAGGGCTCAGCCTGAGAAGCCACTTCTGCTCAAGCAGGGCCTCCCGAAACCCAGCAAGGCTGTTTCATGTCAACTACCTTATGGTAACTACACACCTAGATGAATTTCCCCCACAGGAGCAGTCACCCCTGGAAAGGCTTCTGCAGGGCCAGCTGCAAAGCAGAGGACCTGTGGCCAAAGGAGCAGCTGGCCCTGAGGCAGGTCCTGGACCAAACAGCCTCACTGCCACCTCTATGTCCTGACAGGGCCATTAGTAACTTCACTGGTGGGGCCACCAACTTGGGCTGCAGCAGGCTCAAACCGTATGCCAGGTCACGCTGCCCTGCTGGAGTCCCACCACTGCTGTCTGCAGTCTTCATCAAGAGCAAGCCTGGGCATGCCAGGCCTGGGCTATTTCCAATTAACAATCAGACCAGCAGATGACCTGAAAGCTTATTAGAGGAGAGAACCTAGGAACTCAATTGATATGCTCTTGGGCTGTGCCACTGGAGGACCAACAAGACCAAGCCACTGTGGGCAAGAGGAAGTTCTCAGGTTCCTAAGGTTGCTGTGGAGATGGCAGGAAGAGTCCCCAAAGTGACACTCAAGTGTAAGGGAATCACAGGCTGGAGATCCAGGGGCAGGCGCCACTGCAGCCATCAACCTTCCAGAGCAATGAGGTCCAGGAGAGGGGGCTGCACAGCCCCTCCTATTTCAGGGGTCTGCAGCCTCCCTACTGTTCTACTGCACAGACCTCATCATGCCTGTGGTGCGGAGAGCGAGCAAGCCAGCTGCGGCTAGTGAAAGTAGCTGGCGTGTGTCCAAGTGCCCCCGCCCCCGAGTTAGCATGCAGTTAACATGGGGCACGAGTGGTCGCTCCCAGCAAGCAGCTGAGTCCTACCTTTTTTCTGAGGCTTCTCATTCATGATTAGCTTGTAGTGGAGATCTGAAAGCAAGCAAATACTCACTATCACACCTAAAATCTACAGCCACTCAGAACAGAAATGTGGCCTCTTTCCATGGGTCCCACAGCTTTTAACAAGTCTCGACCTCAGGCATCTCAGGCCAGAAATGGCTCTGGCTGATCCCTGTCATCCCCAACAAGGAGCCTATCCACTGGGCTAGTCAGGGACAGGAGCCCCTAGCAATGGGTTAGTGGGGTGTGACATGGGCTAGTCATTCAGACACGGGGAGAGCCTCAGGAAAGCATCAGGAGAGGGTCCTACTGTAGTAAGGTGCCCAATGAGAGGCTCTTCGGCATTCCAGGCAGAGAGCACAGGCCCAGGGTGGGAAGAAGCTGAGGAGCCCTAGCTAAGATGTGAGGCAGACTGAGGACGGTCATGTCACACAGAGGCCTGAAGTTCTGAGAGGCCAAGCCCCCAGGGTGGGGAGCACGAAGGGTGCCCCTGCTGGAAGGAATGTGGGGCGGTATCCAGGCAATTCTTGCATATGATCTGTATGGTATGAGTTAGTGACCATTTACTAGCACTTGCTCCGCTGTTTAACTTCCGCAACGGTTTTAAACAACTAGGTGGGCCATACCCTGCTCTGGGCAGAGTGCACAGGAGGGTCAGCGTCTGTCTGGGCTGGTGGGCACAAAAGGACCACACGGAGGACTGAACCTGTCGGCGGGATCTACTAAAGAGAAGCCGCCCGCGTTCTTCCCCGCATCCGGAGACTGTTCAGAGTCGATGGCCGTAGCCGTGGCCTTCGCGCTGTAAATGCCCGGCCAGCACCCAGAGGCTCACCCTTGTTCTCCCGCTTCAGGTGCTCGATCTCCTCGTGGAGTTTGATCAGC